CAAGAGATGATCCGATAAAATCGACCAGCTCTGTTCTTGCTTTAAAATCTTCCCTGGTCCACTGACAACCTGGGAAGGAAGGTCTGACAAAGGAGATTCTCCTCATGTACAACGTGGATGAAGCAAGGGTACCCAACACGTTCAATCAGTTACTTACCCTCTCAGCATCAAACCTTGTCATTTGAACGATCAGCACGGCAAAATGTCTGCTCTAGAGAAAAAGACTGCAAGCATCAGTGATGGTTAAATTGGTGGCTTCAGTGGCTCCCTGCAAACAGATCTGGATCTCCTCCAAGTCCATCTTTGTCAGCCACGCCCGGTTCTCAGACTTTCTTTCTCTGGTGCCACCTCCTCTGTTATAACTCCCCAGAGTGCTGCATATTCTGCTGGCAGGTGCCACCAGCCTAAGCTCTGGGTGGGCGCGGGGCCGGGACTGCCCCCCTCACTTGCTCTCTGTACACCTCTCTTAGCTGTCAAAGCCCTGCTCTAAGCAGATTAATCTAAATAATCTAAACCAAACTCAACTCTAAATACACTTTTATCTAATACACACATGGCAAATATATTTATAGCCTATATTCAGAGTGTCATGTACAAGATGCAGAGGAGAGACTGATAACTGTCTGGGAGAGGGGAAGGAAAGAACTGGCAGAGGAAGTGAGGTTTAAGACAGGCTCTCTTAGGGTCTGCTTTGCTGAGTGAGGGCAAGGGGACGATGAGAGGTGTGAAACAGCACGGAAGGACTGAGGAACAGGAGGGACTGTGACCTTACTGAGGATGCTCATGGCAGGGGGCATGAAGGGACTAGAAGAGCAGGGACCAGAGATCACAAAAGATCCTAGTGTCAGGTCAAGAGATTTGTGTTTATCTTCTATATATTCATAATAAAAGCTAGCATTAACCAAGCACCCGTGTGCCAGTCATGGTGCTAGGGGCTTTCTGCGAATCATCCTTCTAGGGCAACAGCCATCTGACGGAGCAGTTGCTATTATTATCATTACCACCTCCATTCTAAGGGTGAAGAAACAGACTGAGGGCACAAAATTTACCCACAGTGAGATTAGGGTTTTCTGAACCACTGCCCGGGCAAGACTCGCAGGCAGGAAGCACAGTTAGGAGGCTACCAAACTCTGTCATGGGAGTGACGCCCAAGGTTTGAGTTTGTGAGGTGGGACGGCAGGTGCAACAGCGTGCAAATCCCGTGGTTGGGTTTTGCTAACTGATTAGATGGGGTGGGGGTGGCAGAGGGAAGAGCCCAGGCTGTCTCCTGGCGCTGGCAGTGGGGACTGGTGGTGCCACGGACATTCCAGAGGCACAAGTGATGGGGGTGATAAAGCCAATTTGGGAGTACCAAATTGGAGGGGCCCATTCCTTACTGATTCAGGATATATTCTTGTTACCTACTATGCACCAGAAACTGTGCTAAGACATGTTCCCTGTGCCCAGGGAGCTCACAGAGAGGGGCAGCATAACTATGTCTTAGGCACTATTCTGTTTACTTCACATGCATGAACCCATGTAACTGCCAGAGGTCCTATGAAGTGCTACTGTCCTCATTTTACAGATGAGGACACTCAAACACAGAGACACTACATAACTTGCCCCGGTTAGACAGCTATTAAATGACCAAGACAAGACCCGAACTCAGGCAGTCTGGATTCATTTTACAAATCAGTAAACAGGTTCAGGAAAGTTCAAGTGATTTGTTTCAGCAAATCAAGCCCCAAATAAGAGGTGGAGGTGGATAAATACCTGTTTAACCGCAAGCTCCTACTACTTACCCCTTAAGTAAGTCTAATTATAGACACACACACACACACACACACACGCACACACGCGCGTGCACATACGGCACGGTGGCGGCACGAGGGAGAGAGCCAGCAGTGCAGCAAATAGGGTAGGGTGGGGAATACCAGAAAAGGTGTTGCCAACGAGGATATGCTTTTATCAGCTCTGGAAGAATGAAGAGGGGCTCCCAGATGGAGAAAGGTATCTATAGTACATGTGGAAGGATGATCTCTAAACAAAAGAAAGGGCTCTTCTTCCTATGATAAGAGGGGAAGCAGTAAGCCCAGGTACAAATATAGATACATTTGTAGGAATTCATATCCATATCTTACAGTTTCAGTGTTGTCCTTGAAGTGGTGGCAAGGTCATATGCTGAGAAGGATGGGCATGAGGCACCATGAAGACAGTCAAGATGTGAATGGTTATTGGATTGACCAGGAGACAGACCTACCCAGGGATACAGAAAGGTACCAGCCAAATGGCCCCTCACAACTTTCGTGTTTGTTTTAGACTTCAAATATTACAGGTAGGTGACAGTTTGGGGTCCCTTGCCCAACTACCTTGTTCCCAGGTGATACAGTTACATTGACACCAAGTCTCAGACACCTATTAGCAAAGAGGTACAAAAGCAGTCTTACAGACTATGTTTGGACAAAACACTTTGTGTGGAAGGTTCATTCAAGGCAGATGTGACAGCATTGTGGCAGAAGGGTCAGAGAAGCTTCTAGTCACTCAGGTACCAGAATTTTCTGTTCTGGCAGAACACAGGACCATAAACGAATCCTAAGCCTAGAGTACTTCAGCGGATTAGATTCCCCAACTTGCCAAATCCTACCGCAGGACAATCCCCATATCTTGAAGACTATTAGGTTGAAACCAGAGCTAAGATGCCATTTGGCAGTTAAACCCACAGATCTCCCTTTTAGTAGCAAAAATGGAGCTGGAGATAAGCGTAGGAATCATCAGGGAGTTGAAACTAATGAAAAGAAAGAGAGAATGCAATAAAGTGGGAAGAGAAAAAAAAAAAATGAAGCGAAGGAACTGCAATATTAAAGGTGTAGGCAGAGGACAAAGAACCAGGAGTGACCGAGGAAGAAGAGAATTTGGAGAACCAGGAGTGACTGAGGAAGAAGAGAATTCGGAGAACCAGGAGTGTGCCTTCCAAGTCAAGGCAGAAGAATTCCTGGTCCAACACTGTATTCCGGAGAAGTCCAGTAGAATAAGAAACTGAAAAGGGTCAATCAGATTTGGCAAAACCGATGGAAGAGCTAATGAGCAGAGGCAGAAGAACCTTCTATAGGAGGAGTGATGTTTCTTCTCTGGGTGGAAGGAGGACAAGGAGGATGGATGTAGGCGTAGACAAGTTTATAAAAGGGCTGGCAGAATTATTGCCTAATCACTCCTATATCTCTATGAAATAGAAGGTAAAGGCACTTCCCGAGTGACCAGGGCTGGGTCTTTAATCTCATTTTAGAATCACAGGTGCTGGGGTGCCTGGGTGGCTCAGTCATTAAGTGTCTGCCTTTGACTCAGGTCATGATCCCAGGCTCCTGGGATCAAGCCCCACCTCGGGCTCCCTGCTCTGTGGGAAGTCTGCTTCTCCCTCTCCCACTCCCCCTGCTTGTGTTCTGTCTCTCTCTGTCAAAAAAAAAAAAAAAAAGAATCACAGGTGCTGAAATAAATCAATATGATGACAGCTACTGATATAAACGGAAGGGAACTTCCCTAAGCTACCCACTGGCACCTATACCCAGACTGTGCCTTTTCTCTTACTTCCTGCTCCAAGCAAAGGCCAACCCCCCACCTACATGATTCTTTTCACTCAACCATATCATTCTAGCAATTCTTTCTCTCCTAGGTAGTTCACATCAACATAGAAAACATGCTGTTATTTCTTCCATTAAAACAAAAATCAAACTTCCCCTCTGGTTACTCCCCATCTCTCTCTCCACGCCCTTACAGCAAAACTTCTCAAGAGTTCTCTGTTCTTGTCACTTATTTCTCTTCTGTTCCATGTCAAACTCACTCCAATCAGACCTTCTCTCCCACTGCTCAATTCAAATTGCTCTCATTAAGGTCACTCATTACCTCCACATTCCTATAGCCCATGATCAATTCTCAGTGCTCATCTTATCTGACCTACGTATCAGCTTATGTCAAAACTGATCTGAAGACACATTCTTTGTGTGGCTTGTTGAACACACTAGGGTCCTCTCCCTCACTATGCACTCCTCCTCTGCTGGTTGCTCCTCCCCTCTCTACCCTCTTAGGGCGAATGCCCCAGTGCTCAGACTTCCTCTCCTCCTCGGTTGACTTGCATTTTTATAGCTACCAAGTCTGCTATTTGTACTTCTGGGATACCCTGCTAGGTTGTTAGCAGTTACTCTGCAAAGCGTGCTTCTCTCTTCCTTCCTTTTTAAAAAATAAAGAACAGTCCAGCTGAAGGTCTAAGGGTGGCTCAGTGAACTGCTCCTTGGTGTGGCCATGCACCCAGAAATCCCCTTAGCTTCTCGTCAGCTTCTAGTTACAGGAGAGATGGACCTGCTGGAAGACTGACCTTCACATGAGTAGGAGTAGTCCTACTCAAAATAAGAAATACCTTGATTACATAAGTCCTCTCCTTCAAAAGTCACTAGTATGCCTGTGCATGCGTTATTTTCCTTCTTTTTTTTTTTTTAAGATTTTATTTATTTCACAGACAGAGAGATCACAAGTAGGCAGAGAGGCAGGCAGAGAGAGGGAGAAGCAGGCTCTCTGCTGAGCAGAGATCCCAATGCGGGGCTTGATCTCAGGATCCTGAGATCATGACCGGAGCCGAAGGCAGAGGCTTAACCCACTGGGCCACCCAGGCACCCCTATTTTCCTATTTTTACCCTCTGAGAATATTGTGATTTTGGAGGTAAGAGCTAATTAAAAAACAATGAGACCTCTCTATCTATCAGAATTCCTTTTTAGCACCCACAGTTAATTATCAAGGCCCAGAAGTAGAAACTGCTATATTATCTTTTTAAGTGAGGAAATTAATAAAAAGTCGTAGTTAAGACGCCTTTAAATGTGAGATATTTAAGAAGCATTAGTTAAGGTCTCGTAGCTTTTATGAGACTACCTAGTCAAGGCTGCTTAAATTCTTAACACCATTATTTCTTAATCCACATTACAACAGCTGAACACCCACCCTGTGATTATGAGGTGAACTCAGACTCTCTGCTTACCTTGTATTTTGAAGTATCCCAGTTGTGGACTATGCGTGCCGGGATGAGAAAACTGTCGTCCACATGGCAGCCGCTGCAGTAATACCACCCACTGTAATTGCACACCTTGGCCTTCCCATTGGAGAGACCTATGGATCGCTGGCATCCTGTCCAAGCACAAGAATGAGTCTCTGATTAGTGTTGTACTTTTTTTTTTTTTAAGATTGTATTTATTTATTTGACAGACAGAGGCACAGCGAGAGAGAGAGACAATAAGCAGGGGCAGTGGGAGAGGGAGAAGCAGGCTCCCCACCGAGCAGAGAGCCCAACGCGGGACTCGATCCCAGGACCCTGGGATCATGACCTGAGCACAAGAAGGCAGACACTTAACGAATGAGCCACCCGGGCACCTGTAGTGTTGTACTTTTAACACCACAGAACAGGTTACACAACCCTCAAACAAAAGTCCGCAAAAGGAAAGAAAAAGAAAAAACTTCAGAGAATACATGTATAGATGTGTCCTTCTCTTCCTAGCCCTATATCCTCAACCCCTTACCTTCTACGGGGCTGCCATAACTGGAACCTAATATGGTCCGGTTTCCGGTCTCTTCTGTGTCTTCTGCATACAGTAGTCAGAGATCAGCCTCTCTACAACCCCACTACTAGCACTTCACTTGTTCCTCATAAGCTCTTTCCACCACCAGACATTTTGCTGGGGACTACTCATAAAGGATCTTATTTAACGTGTACAACACATCTGTGAGATGGTTTTAGCCAATCTCAGGTCACCGAACCTGGAAGAGGTGGAGTCTGGATTCGGCTCTAAGCTTGTCTGAGTTTAAAATGATTCTAAAAACTGGTACGCAGTCTTCCTTTACTTACCTAGTCAATGAATCCCCCGACTGGCCCTATATCACCTTTCCAACTCTCTACTCCTACTACTCTCCAATGGAAATATAACTTCTTTACTGCAATAAGAGAACTCTCCTTGCTATTCCCCAAATAAACAGTGTGCTCGCTTGACCCTCCACACGTTGGTGCATATTACGTCTCCTTACACAAAACCCTCTTCTCTGATTTCCACTTTGCCAAATCCTGCCCATTACTCAAGACCAGTGGCTGCTGGCAAGTCATTGCTAAGGCCCGAGGAAATCCATGTCCAAGGAAATCCATGATTCTGCGAGCATTGTCCTGGGACTCTCGGGGGGACTGGTAATAATCTAGGCCCTGTCACAAAAAAGCCATGCTTTTTCTTCAGGTAGGAGGCACTACATTCTCTTGGTGAGTACAGAAATCCCATCAGAACCCAAGGAACTAAATCAGGGCAGCCCAGAACAGGTAATCATGATTATACAAAGAGCAACATCATCCTGGCATTTCTGATCAACCGCTTTCATTTCAGAAATCTATTTCTGGATCATGGCTGGATCAAGAACTGCACTGACCAAAGAAATCTCACATTAAGCCTATTTAATGATAACATCATCACCCCCCTCCTCATCATCATCACCATCACTGTGGAACCTCATGTCCATTAAAGGAGCTCTGAACAGTCTATTTAACAAACTGCTAACCTAAGAAAAAACTAATTCACATGAACTCCATGAATGAAAATATCACAAAAACTCAAAGGACTTTAGTTTTCATCACAAATAAAATGGTATCAGTAATCAAGCAGTCTAGCTATGCATTCTCCGGGAAGAGAATTAGATCCTATTGCTTTAAAGACAAGAGGTACTAAAAGATAGTACGTAAGGGCATAGGTATTACGCTTCAAAGGCTGCAAATTGCTCCTTCCTGGAATGGCTGTTTCTTTACTGTTGAGTAGCAGCAAAATCAGAACAAGCTCCTGTTTTTCGGACGGGCTGAGCAATGAGATGTGTGCGACAGACAGAGCAGCAGCAAACACACATGCCGCTGCTGTCACTGAGGGGAGGTGCGGTCGGTCACAAGGAGCGGGCTGTGAGCTCTGGAATGTGTTTGCTGCACTCATTGCAGTACTGTGCATCTGGCATTTAGCACACGCTTCCGGAAACTACTGTGCCTTTTTATGTGCTTGTCCAACAAGAACCACACTAGAAACTCCTCAAAGCAATTTCTTATCCTCAGTACTTAACACAGAGCTTTACATACAGCAGATCATCAATAACTGTTTATGCAGAAAGGATGGTAAATTGAATATTACTTGGGCACACATACACCTGGATATAAAGAGATTCTAATTTCTCAAAGCTCTTTCAGAACCAATTCCCCTAACCAGGTCACCTGCCTCTTAAAACAGCATTCTTTTGTTAATAACCCCGTGAAAAATATGTTGCCCATTCTAAGAATTACATATTGCTCATGTGATCATATATGGACTGTGGAGCAGAATTCAGTGGAACTTGACACATCCTAGACACTGGGATATTGCTGTTTCCAAAAATTCGCTGATGGTCAAATTGAACACTGAAATGACGATGAATAAAACTCAGTCTTTTCTAAGGATTTAGAAAGTGATCATGGTCCTGCAGGAATTCCAGGTCATCACTATAGTTTAAACTCACCACAGAATATAGCAAAAATAAATTTGGGTCACTTTAGCTTTTTGGTTGTTTGAATTTTAGATGTACTTAACATTAGCAAGCATTTGCTGGATATTTATATATGCTTTAGTGGGTACTATTGTGTATATCAGTCTATAGTTTTTAATGACTTTATTATAATTTTTAGATGTAACATACATAAGCAATATTAAAATACACAAATACGCATTTTTAAGAAAGTATATGTTCTAAAAATGTGTATCTTAACCAGGCACGCAAGTCCAAAGCCTAACACACTGGGGGTTCAACTACACGGGCTAACTAAATTAGCTAAGCATTCTTACCACCTGTGCACTGGTCTCCAGGCTCATCAAAGAGAGAAGGGCTGACAGAGCATGGCTAGCGCTCACTCAGGCTTTAGGTTAGACAGAAGCAACAGTTCTTGGGTGTCTTTACCTTCATACCTTATTTAGAACGATGCTCTCCTACTTGCCAAGCTGAAATCACCTCTAATGATCCAGAAGTAGGTCTGAACCTATTTGCATGCTTAGGACTGTTTTGGATACATGGTGTACAGACAAGCACAAGTCCAAGTTAGAAAGCCCATTCTTGCCTAGGACAGACTGTGAATTTGACCCATCAAACTCTCTAAGTCTGCTTTCCACACTGCAAAGGAAGGGGCCATCCTAAATCAGTGGTTTGCCAAATTCAGTGAGTGTCAGAATTTTCTGAAGAAGCCTGTGAAGGGGCACCTGGGTGGCTCAGTGGGTTAAAGCCTCTGCCTTCAGCTCAGGTCATGATCTCAGGGTCCTGGGATTGAGCCCCGCATCGGCTCTCTGCTCAGCGGGGAGCCTGTTTCCCTCTCTCTCTCTCTACCTGCTTCTCTGCCTGCTTGTGATCTCTGTCAAATAAATAAATAAAATCTTAAAAAAAAAAAAAAAAGAAGCCTGTGAAAAATGTAGACCCCTCCCCCACCCCAACTCCCACCCATAAGACTTTGATTCTGTAGCTCTGGATTAGGGCCCAGGAACCTGTATTTCTCCCCAACCCGCCAACTACCACCAGAGACACTGGTGGGGGAAAAGCTGAGGATGGCTCCCTGGTTTCCAGGTGGCTGCTAAGGCCCCTCCAGGCTCTAAAATTCTAATTCTATTCAAGCGCAGAGGGTGTGCAGCCCCTCAAATGAAAACCTTGTAAATGGTCATGTAGTATACTCTCTCAGCTTCCAAAATCAACATTTCAGGTTCCCAGTCAATTTCTAAAAATCTGCTATGTAGAAACAACCTGAGTTCATTTTACCAGTGTTTTCCCACAGCATTCACGGTCTCCACTAAGAAGCATCTTACTTGGTTTAGAATTAAAACTTTTAATCTCCAAATTCAATGTAGTATTTGTTATTGAAAGAACACAGGATGGTCAAAGAAGATTAGAGGCTAGTGGCCTAATGCAGATTCATTTTCTAAAAAACACCACTTACCATTTATTTGAAGAAGGAAACACCTATTTTTTCAATTGATTTTAAGATTCCTTCTTTAATATCATACTAGCAAATCAGAGACTAAAAATGTCTAAACAATTCCCCTAAAGCTATATGATCTGGATTTTACTTTATCATTGTGATGTTTTCAACAGAGCAAAAAATGTGTTTTCGTAATAACGACTATGACAAAAACATTTTTGAAGGGTGCCAAAGCTGGACTCTGACAAGAGACATTATGGGGAGAAAAATAGAACCGCAAAGCAGAGACAAAAAATAATTAATTGAAATAACTAATTAGAGCTTATTTACATATTATATTTTTATGTACTTTCAAACAGACTTTTGAATAATACTTCTAAATTAAGGGGTATTTGTAGTAGGGAACCCTCCACATATTGGATCAAAGCAAATACATTCTTTCCAGTCTCTTTTTGAAACTTTTCAGAGGGTGTTCAATTCATAGGAACAAAAAACTATCTCACAAGAGAACTCACTGGCCTTTTTTTTTTTTTTATTGCTTCCCACCCCACTTCAAATCTTTAATGAACACATGCTCTGAAGAGCTTAGCTTCCCCCCTGGTACTCTTTTGGAAACAAATGTTACCATTTAACTGAAATCCTATTTGCTGCATGTACAGTCCATTTCCCAAATGGCCTTTCACTAAAGAGGACCAAAAGAATCTGTTGCCAGGGGTTGAAGCAGAAATTTTGGCATAATTCTCCACAAAGGCACAAGCTTTCTTCTAACAAGTGTACCTAGTTAGCTCAACTGGCGGCAATGTGGCATTATTGAAGCCGAGATCTTGAGGAGAAGCCAACCACCTTCTCACTGCCTCATGGCTACCAAATCTGCCCTCCTTCCCCTGACCAGCAGCTGGAAAATTCATGGGCATAAGAGGAAAATGACATGAGCTGTGGCTAGATCCAGGTGGATCTCCCTAAGGAAAGAACTCACACAATGCCTTCTAAGTGTGATCAGCCACACTACCTCCTTTACTCAGTTTGGCAAAGTAAATTTGGTATTTTGTGTTTGGAAGGTAGAAAATTCTCTAAGAAAAAAAAAAAAGGCAAACAAAAAGAAAGAAGAGAAGGGGTCTTTATAAAAAAGGGAGGAAAAGAGGTAAGAGTAAGAGGATAAATTTCCATTTTCTCTGTTAAAAGT